ACAGCGTTGCTAACTCGGGTGTTCCCACGATATACGAGCAATGCCTTCGAAGACACCCAATGATCGAAAACCAATAACCGACGGACTATCTTCTATTCTCATTGGCCATGTTTCACAGCAGTAAAGTAAGACGGAGCGAACTACTGCACAGTACACTCGTCCTTTTATTCAGCGAACGGATATCTCGCCTATGCCAAAGTGACGCAACTTGGCAAAAGCCAATCGAGCCTTCTGTATCCGTGCTAAGATTTCGTCACACACCACCAGGCCATCAGTTGCCATACCACATTAGCATCTTGGATCAAATAAATTGTTTACCTTTGATCTTTTTATTGAACAAAGTTTTCAATTTTTTATTGTTCTGTTTACACGTGTTTTTTAAAAAAGGTTATCTTTCATTTATTTAGGAGCAGAATAGATTCTGGTGCACAAGATCTTTGGTGGTGACCACAAAAGTTTACATTTACTAATACCAACGTGATTTTTCCTGATTTATATAAAATTGTTTTTTCATTATTACCTTACAATTCAATAAAAACTAATTTTTGATAATCCTAATGTAAATACTACTAATAATAATCCGATGTATAATTTTTCAAATCAACAATTTACTAATTTATCAAAACATACCGAAGAAAACACAATTATTCGATATAATAAAATCAACTGACATCGAATCCAACGCGTGTAGTAATAATAATAATAATTATTATGATTATTATTTACAAAATGTAACAACATTATTTGAATGTGCTAATACTATTCATATACAAAGAACAACTCAATTACCGTGCGAAATACGTGATCTATCACATAGACTACAAGGATTTACAGGTATGTTTGAATGTTTGAGTTATTGTTATGTATAAATTGTTTTTGCTCAAAATATGCTATTTCTTATGGTTAAATGTCAACCACTTTCGCTTATCTTGAGAGTTTCATCAGTGCTGATGGCCCTGGTGTGTGATTGAAATCTCAGCATGGATACAGAAGACTCGATTAGCATTTGATAACTTCATCATTTATGGTGTAGGCGAGATAGCCGTCTGTTAACCAAAGGATGAGTCTACTGTGTAGCAGTTGCTCTGTCCTAATTTATGGCTGTGAAAAATGGCTAGTAAGAGTAGAAGATATTCATAGGAGGATTGATTTTGACAATTTGGTCTCTTGTGAGGGCGGTTTTCACTTCCCGCCTGCCCATACCGTGGAAGGTTGTTTGTTGAGGAACCTGAAAAGGAAGATAGATTATTGTTGGTCTTAGAGACCTGGTTGCGTAACCGCAGAGCTCAAGGGACAACTGGTTGAGGCCGGTCACGCATGGCCTTTTTATGAAGGGTTTTTGAGGATTAGCTCGTTCTTAAAGGCCCTTAGTGGCAGCCCTTACGCCGGAGACGGAAATCCGTAAGGTAGGGTGAGGTGTGATATTTTTAGGGTTGACCTGTTCTAACTCTTACTTCCTTGTGAGAAGGCAGCATCGCTGCAGATGCTGGTTGGTCCAAAGGGAAACCACCTTACTGCTGTCACACCCCTCCATCACAGTCAGCAGTACGACTTCGCCCTCAGACCTTGAATAGCTGTTTTAGTCTCATTGTTCTCCAACTCGAACCTGCCTGGCATGGTAGAACCTTCAGGAACATATGTCGCAGCCAGTATAGTTCGGTTGGTCATCACGATAGGCACAGCCCGACCACCACATCAGGTAGCAGCTTCGGTCGGGCATCCATATGTTACTAGTTTTCGATTCATAGGTGTCTCCGAAGCATTGCTCGTTTTATTTGGGATTATCGAGTAAGTAATGAGTTTGTTAGGAAACGTGTTCTAGGTAAGGATGACAGATCAATAGATGAAGTATTGAAACTTGATCAGTTGAGGTGGTTGGGACATGTTTTATGAAAGCCAACCACGACTTGCCTCGACGAGCAATGTTCTGTAGTGTAGGAGTAGGTTGGAAGAAATCTAGAAGGGGCAAACCAAAACATGGAATGAATTCCTGAAGTCACTGACAACTGGACTGAGTCATGTTTGTAAATGTGCGACTACCCGGTTGGAGTCGCGAGACAATAGTAACCGATGTTACAGACCTTGAGTGACATGGCTTAAATCGTCTGTAATGGCGCAGATGCATCCATTCTTTGTGTCCTCTCAAATCCTAATCATCTGAATTCCATATGACTGTTTTTTCTCTGCTTTAACTGATTTCTCTTGGGTATACATCTCGATTAATATATCGATCAGTAACCTTTTGATACCGAAAATACTTCTACTACCTCTATTACTACTATGAGATTTGAATTGACAGTTGCATTTCTCTGTGCTAATGTGGTGTAATGAACTAGAACTGATGTACGTACGTATGAAGTTCTACGTTGAATTTACTCGCTCCTAATCGGAAATATAAATAGTATGTGATCATTATTTAAATTTATACAGAACACATAAACATTCGTACAATGTGACATCTAAATATTTAAGCAACACACAAATGATTGGAGTTTGTAAGTAGAATGAGACACTGTTCAAACGGCCCAATCAGGTGTTGTTATCATGGTGAAACGACCCCGAGCTTTTGACACAAAGACAGTAGAGCAACATCACCAGATGGTAACCCCGCTCGGTAGCCAATGACCAACAGTGGGATTATAAAACCATCCTGGAGCTTATTATACACCATTGTTTTGGAATGAGAGTTTTCCAATTCTCCTAGATAGATCCTCCATACTCCGTCAACCTAGTTGAAGGCTTAGCTTGACATTCAGTTATTGTCCTCTAACCCTACTAAGATAATAGGCTTTACCAAAGTTATAAAATAAACCACTATCATAATTACAGCTAAGACTTACAACTCTACAGCATTGTATTCAAGAGAGATTAGTCATACTGTAATGTGACGGAGAATCACAGGTGAGGGCAATCGAATTGTACTTTAACACAAATTACAGAGTTACTCAGTAAAATAGGAAACCATATCGTAACGTTAATTTCCAAATCTTCAATACCATCATCAGTCCAATTGCTAACATTTCACTCACTATTCATGCGTTCATACAACTTCCATTTGTTCCCACTCTTCCTTTCTTGATCTTCCCCATCTTTGCTGCCAGACATTATTACGTTTACACTAGCGTTATATAATACTTATAAGTAGCGCACACCACAATACTATTTCTATACTAAAATTGTATATGATAGTGAGATATCCTCTAGAGACACAGACAACATATTTCCAAGTATTGTATCTTTTCACAGTCAGAAGACCATCTCTACTAATTTTATTCGTAACTAGTATTCCTCAGAAGAAATTCTCTTCTATTATGTTATCAATGAGTGACTGTCAACTGTTCATAGCACTTTTAATTGCTGTTCAATTCGGTCAGATCAGTCAGTCAGTCAGCACAGCTAAAACGCAGTCCTTCGTACATACGTAATCAGTTCAATTTTTCATGCCACATTATCACACAGAGATGTAATATTTGGATTCGATGCTAACCGATTTGGTCTCGTTTTGCTTTTATGGATATCAGGCGATCTTACTTCCTGGCTTCTCACACTATCAATTCAAATCCCATAGTGATAGAGATAGTAGAAGTAGTAGCAGTAATGGAGAAGATTAAGGTTCGAAGAACTTATTCAAGAAGTGTAATCCAGTGAAATAAATTAAAAAGAAATAAGAAGAGCCTGATCTCATGAGGTCATGGGCGAAGGACCAAAAAATGGATGTACATGGGCCATTGCAAACGATTTCAGCTAGGTCACTCAAGGTCCTCTAACACCGGTTACGATTGTCTTGCGGACTCCAGGCAGGTAGTCTACACCTATTAAACATGACTCACTTCAGTTGTCAATGGCTTCATGGATTTTGTTACAGTGTTTTCGTCTGGCTGCCCCTAAAACTTTTACCAGCCGACCCCCTATATCACAAAACATAGCTCGTCTGAGGCAGTCGGTGGTTGGCATGCGTAACACATGTCCCAACCACCTCAACTGGAGAAGTTTCATGCTTCATCTATTGATCTGCCATCCTTCCCTTAGTACTCGTTCCTAACGACAGCATTGCTTATACGGTTGTCCCACGATATAAGAGCAATGCTCTTAAACATCTATGATCGAATACTAGTAACCTACGAACATCTTCTACTCTTAACGGCCATGTTTCGCATCCATATAGTAGGACGGAGCGAACTGCTACTCAGTACACTCGTCCTTTGGTTAGCGAGTGTACTACCCAGAGATTAGGTGCTCATGAGCAAGACCGAAAGCCCTGCTTTCGAATCGTGCGAGTAGCACGAGTCATAGATATGGGCATTGCTGACGAGTAGTCCTATGTCAGAACGAAACAGTCATCCATTGCTTCTTCTAAGTATCTAATGCTAGTCTAACAATGATTCATTTATGATTGTAACTGAAAAACAAACAACAATCTTCACATAATTCTACAATGTAAAAATCTTTGAAAGCATGAATCCATCAATGTTAGACCATCATTAGAAACCTGGAAGCACTGGACGGCCGTTTCGTCCTGGTATGGGACTCTTCACTAGTGACTAGCTTCGAGAGGAATCTTCTCCGAGTTCTAGTGGTGGGAAGACGTGACCAGTGAAGTTCAACCTGTTCGGGTGTACGCAATGTCTACCGAAGACTATGTATGAGGTTGCGCAACTCCATGAATTGATCAAGTTAGACATTAACACCGCTGCATACCGGCCCAGTGGTCTAACGGTTAGGGTGTTTGCGCACAATACCGAAGGTCCTGGGTTCGAATCCTGCGAGGTACAGGAGCCGTGGGTACGCTCTGCTGAGGAGTCCCATACCAGGACGAAACGGCCCGTTGTGCTGTGCTTCCAGGTTTTTAATGGTGGTCTAACATTGATCGATTCATGGTTTCAAGAGAATGTGTAACTTAACAATCTTCACAACAACCCCGTAATGCAAATATAAAAATCCTATTTATTATACATTATTATTCATAATTTACTTCAAATTCATTTTAGACAAATCGAGATATGCATTTTCGTGAAATACAACGTTTACATTGTGAAAAACAACAATTACACAATGAGTTCACCAACCAAATCTCACGTTATGAAGATCGTCTCACGGAATTACATAGTGTCATTGCTGAATTACGACGTCGTTTAGAACATTCAGAAGCAAATATTATACATGAAGTAGAAGAATTCGAAGAGAATGATCACGATGAGGATGTTGATGAGGATGAGAACGAGGATGAGGCGGAGCAGGAGCAACAGCACGACAAACAGGTTGATAATAATAATGATGGATTAATAATCAAAAGCAAATCTGACGAAAAATCGATAAAATCAAAATTCCCACCAATCAATACAGCCAATCATAATCATGCTAATACTAATAACCAATCAGCAGTGAATTATAATGAATTCGGTGAAAATACGCATGATGACAATAGTGATACATCAGTGGATGTGATGATGGACGGTGATGATGATGATGATGATGATGATGACGACAATGATGGTGACGATGTTAATGCACCAGTGGAACATATTCATCATAAACCTATTGATATTGTTCGACAATATCATCATCAGCCGAAATCAATGGCATCGAATTATTTCATGTTACAAACAACTAATCTTATTTATGATCAATTAAATCATAGTCATGGATTAAGTTATCCAGAAAAGAATATGGAAGATATGTCTAAAAATGACAATCATGATCTTGTAAGTTTTGTGAATTTTTATTTTTTTTTAAAACAAATGATTATGTCCAACTACCCCGACTGTCCGACCGTAGCTGCTACCTTCACGTAGTGGTCGTGCTTGCCTAACGTGATGACCCAACCGAACTATACTGGCTGGAACATATGTTCCTGAAGGTTCTACCATGCCAGGCAGGTCGATTGGAGAACGATGAGACTAAAAGCAGCTACCTAAGGTCTGCTGACTGTGATGGAGGGGTGTGACAGCAGTAAGGTGTTTCCCTCGGACAACCAGTATCTGCAGCGGTGCTTTCTTCTCACAAGGAAGTAAGGGTTAGAAAAGGTTCACCCTAAAAATGTCAAATTTCACCCTACCTCACGGATTTCCGTCTCCGTCGGTAAGGGCTGCCCACTAAGGGCCTTTAAGAGCGGAGCTAATCCTCAAAATATACTTCATAAAAAGTCCGTGCGTGACCGGCCTCAAGCAGTTGTCCCTTGGACTCTGTGGTCACGCTCCCAGGTCTCTAAGACCAACATTAATCTATCTTCCTTTTCAGGTTCCTCAAGAAACAACCTTCCACGGTGTGGGCAACCGGGAAGTGATAACCACCCTCATACCCGTAACAGCACGAGAGACTGAACTACTGACTGACTGCCTTGACGAGTGAGTTTTGTGGTGTAGAGGAGTAGGTTGAAAGAAAGCTAGGGAATGGCCAAATCAAAATATGACACTAGTTTATGAAGTTATTGACAACTGGACTGAATCATGTTAGTAGTAGGTGTCGACTACCTGGTTAGAGACCCTTGAATGATATGACCGTTTGCGATGGTGCAGGTGCATTCATTCTTTGTCTTCTCTCGAATCCTGGACGTGGCTGTATAGATACTACAGCGACACACTACCACAGGTCCTGGAACACAGACACACATTTAGACGTCCGACAATAGTTGTGTTCCTTGATTTAAGGCGGCATTTGACTATGTTGATCGTGGGTTTCTGTGGCAGTGTCTGTCATTGAAAGGTGTACCAAAGAAATACATTAATCTTATACAAGTCCACTACTCGAAGACTACTGATCGGGTGAGAGCTTATGGCGATATGTCATCTGAATTCTCTACATCAAGTGGTGTCCGTCAGGGCTGTTCACTGTCTCCATTCTTGTTTAACTTTGTCGTAGACATCCTTTTAGAGTTAACATTAGGCCCGTCAGATTTTTCAGGGATTGACGTTCTACCAGAAAAGTCGCTTACTGATCTAGAATATGCCGATGACATAGTTCTATTCGGTGAAGACACTGAACAAAATGCAGAGTCTTCTGACTACCATAAGCAACAATGCGAGCATGTTAGGGATGCGGTTTTCCCCCTCGAAATGCAAAATGTTGCTTCAAGACTGGGTTGCATCGGCATCTGAACTTAGTCGAGCGTGTTGATCACTTCACTTATCTGGGGAGTCTCATCAGCGTTGATAGCCTGGTGACTGACGAAATCTCAACCCGGATACAGAAGGCTCTATTCGCTTTTGCCAAATTTACGCCGTTTATAGCGTAGGCGTGATATCTGTTCGCTAACCAAAGGACGGGTGTACTGCGCAGCAGTTCGTTCCGTTCTCCTATATGGATGCGAAACATTGCCGTTAAGAGTAGAACATATTCGTAAGTTACTAGTCTTCGATCATAGATGTTTAAGAAGGCATTGCTGGTATACCGTGGGACAACCGAGTAAGCAATGCTGTCGTAGAAAACGGATGCTAGGTAGGGATGGCAGATCGATAGATGAAGTGGTGAAACTTCATCAGTTGAGGTGGTTGGGACATGTGTTACGAATGCCCGACCACCTACTGCCTTGACGAGCTATGTTTTGTGGTGTAGGAGTAGGTTGGAAGAAAGCTAGAGGCGGCCAAACCAAAACATGGCACAAATCCATGAAGTCACTGACAAGTGGACTGAGTCATGTTGGTAGACGTAGGCTACCTGGTTGGCGTTGGCGAGACAGTAGTAACCGATGGTTAGAGACCAAAATCGTTTGCACTGATGTAGGTGCATCCATTGTATGTCTTGTTAAATTCTAATCTTCCGAATTCCTTATCGCCTTCATCTTTCTGTACTCAAATTTATTTCACTGGATTATACTCCTTGAATAATATCTTCAAACCCTAATCTTTCCGATTACTGTTAATACTTCTACTGCCTTTACTACTATGGGATTTGAATTGACAATTCCATCTCTGTGCAACTGATGCACAGGTGCATCCACTCTTTGTGTTCTATGAAATTCTAACCTTCTGAATTCCTCATCATCTCTATCTTTCTATTTCGAAAGTTATCTTACTGAACTACACTTCTCGAACCATATCTTCGCTCACTAATCTTCTCGATTACTACTAATACTTCTACTATTGCTATCACCCTTGGTTTTAAACTGACAGTTGCGTCTATGCTGATGGGGCATGACAACCTGAACTGATGTACTTACGAACGAAATTCTACGTTGTATCTGTCTGTCTGTCTGTACGTACGTACGTACTTACGAAGTTCTTTTTTGTAATTGACTGACTGCCTGACTGATAGTAGAGAAAAATTTCTAGCTCAAATATACAATCAAAATAAAATAGGCAGATCACATCAGATTAAAGGTTGACAATAACTATTTCAACAGTGAAGTTGACAAGATTAGCTGGGAGTAGTCATCTGTGGAGACATTTGAATAGTTCACTTCTATATGAAGTTTTTACTGATGATGCTGTTGTTTCAGAAGAAGAAGAACAATGAAAACTCCATGACTAAACCATCCATCTAAGAGAACGGAACTCCATCATCAAGTTTGATCATACTAACCATTTGTGAACAAGGTTTCAACTTACAGTTTGAATCATTAAGTTTCACTGTCAACAGTTGTTTGAGTATATAGGACTAAAGAGTTAAAGAGTTCATTGATTTGTATACAGAAATATTTGACTTGTCAGATAATCAATCAGTCGACAGCAACGTAGAACTTCGTACGTGCATCATTTGAAGTTGCTGGCGTAGGCATAGCGTTGAGTCCTAGGGCAGAATTATCTCTCCTAGACTGGATCCCAGTAGATAGTTGTTTGTGCGCTGTCCGACTAAACGGGACAGTAAGAACTCAGAAGGATAGGGACACTCGCCGTTGCCTCTTCGTCATATCTGCCTATGTCCCCACTAACTGCAGTGCAGACGATGTAGAGACCTTGAATGACATGGCTCGAAATCGTTCGCAATGGCGCCGGTGCATTTATTCTTTGTGTTCTCTCAAATCCTAATCTTCTGGATTCTTCAACACTTCTAGTTTCGACTCTCTAAACTTTTTCTCACTGAATCATACTTCTTGAATAGTATCTTCTAACCCTAACCTCTGCGATTACTTCTAATTCCCTTACTACCTCTTCTACTATTGGATTTGAATTGACAATTATACCTCTGTGCTGATGTGGTATGACAACATGAACTGATGTACTTACGTACGAAGTTCTACGTTGCATCTGACTGACTGAAGTTGCCATCCCATAGTGTTAGCGGTGGTTAGAAGTATTAGCAATAATGGAGAAGATTAGGATTCCAAGATATGATTCGAGAAGTATAATTCTGTGAGATAACTTTAGGAAGAGAAAGATAAAGATGATGAGGAATTCAGAAGGTTAGAATCTGAGAGAACACAATGAATGAATACACCTGGGCCATTGCAAACGATTTTGAGCCATGTCATTCCAGGTTCATCGTTTTCTAACATCTCGCGGACCCCAACCAGGTAGTCTACATCTACCAACATGACTCAGTCCACTTGTCAGTGACTTCATGGATTTAGGCCATGTTTTGGTTTGACCACCCCTAACTTTCTTCTAACCTACTCCTACATCACAAAACATAGCTCGACGAGGTAGTCGGTGGTCGGTCATACGTAACACATGTCTAAACCACCTCAACTGATGAAGTACTCAATATGGCGTCATATCAATCTGTCAGTCTCTTGAAATTTACTTGATAAATTGGTTAAATTCCTATCCTGTAAGATTGTAGAGTAATTTTACAGCTCAGGTAGATGAGATTATGATGGAGTGTTGTTCTTTGAGCTCGAGATGTTTCGGTTGTGGAGTTTTCTTTGTTCTCCTTCTTCTGAAACAACAGCATGATCACAGTATAAACTTGAAGTAGAAATGAAGTATTCAGACTTCTCTATATAGATGACTGCCAAATTGTCTTGTCAAATTCGATTTTGATTGGTTATTATTGACCTTTAACCTGCGATCACATAATGAATCTTTATTGATGATTGTTTCACCCCCCCTACTTTGTTCTGATTGTTGGTCCCACGATTTATTTATGATTTTTTTCTGATTGGTCGGCAAATTGAATCGATTTCTATGTGTTTGTTGTGTATGTTGAATGACATAAGTGAGTGTTAAGCTTCTAAAAATTCTCCCTCTACCCAAGATTTTGTGAAACATGACCAGTGAGAATAGAGGATATTCATAGGTTATTAGTTATCTTCGAGGAATTACTCGTTTATTTTTGGACAATCGAGTAAGCAATGCTGTTGCTGCGCCGTACTCTGCCGAGTATGGATGGGGGGTCGGGGCATAGTTGTTGGCGTCGCAATTTATCGAGAGTGTGCCTGCCGCCGTGTCCCAGCGGCGGCAACTTATAAACCCTACACGTTGGATAGATGCCGTACCCATTCCAGACAGCGGGCAAGAACAATGACCGAAGTAGTAATCCGGCATATGGTAGCGCGTCACGGAATACGGAAGGTGATAATAACTGACCAGGGTCCCTGTTTTGAAAGTGACGACAGCTTATTAAAAGGGGTGACGAGTGTGGTGCGAGCTACTTATAAGTAGTATATGACGTGAGTGTCAACGTAATGTCTGGCAGCAGAAGATGGGGGGAGATCAGGAAAGGAAGAGTTAGAAAACAATGGAATTTGTATGAAACGCATGAATAGTGAGTGACAATGGATTGATGTTTTGCAACAGGAACAGTCCAGTTCGATATGATGAACTGA